GCTAAATGTATCAAAAGTATGTCTATGTAATATTAGAATTTTCTGAGACAATGAATTTTGTTTTTTTGTTTAGTAAGAGGTTTTTATTTAATAGAATTTTTGGACCTAAAATATCGCAACATATCACCTTGTTTACAGTATCGAAATATATCGGGATATATCGTATCGTGACCCCTCTGTCATGATATGTATCGTATCGCCAAATTCTTGCCAATACACAGCCCTAGTATTTTTTTTTTTTTTGAAGCGAGTGGTTGGGCCACAAACTTCTGACCAATCACACGGTAAGTTCTTAAGGTAGCGGGGTGAAAAATTCTCCTGGCGTGTCGTGACAAGAAGGGGCAGCTGATCTAAAGCTGCGAACAGGATGAAGCTGCAACAAAGAGCTGATTTTGGCAGTTTGGATGGAGCATGCAGAGACCTTTAGAGATGGGGTGAGGAGCTCAGTGTAGAGCTGCTGCTCCTCTGCATCATAAGGAGTCAGCTGAGGTGGTTCATCTGATCAGGACGCCTCCCTTCAGAGGTGTTCCAGGCACGTCCTACTGGTAGGAGGCCCTAAGGAAGACCCAGGACTCACTGGAGGGATTATGTATCCTCTCTCGCCCGGGAAAACCTCGGGGTCCCCCAGGACGAGCTGGAAAGTGTCGCCAGAGAAAGGGAGGTCTGGGTTTCTCTCCTGGACCTGATGCCTCCACAACTCAACTATGGATAAGCAGTAGAAGAAGGAAAATTAGCAGCAATAATAAAAGCTGTTTACTAAAGTAGATTTCATGTCAACCCAAGTTTTAATCAGGAGTGTTTCATGAGATTTTTAAATAACAGACAAATGAACACCTTYTCATTCGTCCTCACCTTTCCAAAASAAAAGTGCTTGTTTACTCTCAGAACAAAGCCTCACAGCTGCATGGAGGGGTGTGGAGTCATATCAGGGCGTGAGCAGACGGACGAACACATTAACGCCCGTGTTTGTGAACGCACCAAAACCGAACAGAGAAAACAGGACTRGTTTCGTAACTTAATGAATCTTATTAGTTTTTTATTTTCTTTTTTTTTCTTCCTTTTTCAAACCATTTCACGCATGGTGAAACACTGTAAATCCATAAYCAAACACATAAACAAGCAGAAAAAGATTGATGCATTATGAATAAATCATCGGGGTACAGAAACTCAATATTAACTCTGCGCTGCCTGGAGGCTTTACAGCGAGCTTACGACAGATCCATCTTGATGTCTGAAGAACTGACTGGAAGGCAAGTGCTTTAGCAAGTACTTATCTCAGGAACTTAATTACCAAAACAAATGATGATTATGATGGTACAACGGCAATGATTCTTCATTACTGTTATTCTTTACCTAGGGTTGTATACTGAATGTGTTTTTGTCGTCATCATRGCCATTATCAGCGTTGAAAACTCCTGGGTAATAAATAAAACTTACCCATTTAGCTGTTGGATTGATTACTTCAACACTTTCATATCTTCATCTCTTCTGGCTGAGTGGCCGTGAAATGTAGCCGAAGATAATTACATGTTTCAGGCTCATAATCAAAATCACCGACAGGAAATGTGTGTAACGTTCGGTTCAGCCATCAATAAAGTTTCATTGTTGAGAAATCAGCTTCATGAGCTACCACTGATGGTTCTCATCATGAAGAATTACACGTTCATGTAAATTAGACGGATTTTCCCTGATGTCTGTAACAACCAAAACTGTTTAATGCAGTCGTATCAACACTCAAAATTATCTTTTAACAGTAATTATAGGAATGCCAATTCAGTATTTTGGTTTTCTAAGTTTAATTTTTTTACAATATAGCAACTTTAGCTGCTTGTGTAGGGATATGCTGTTGTCGACGTTATGGACAATGTTATATCATAAATACCTCGTAATTATTAGCATAACAAAGG